ATACCACAGCTTCTCTATCAATTCATTTGTTGATGGGTACTTAGGTTGTTTCCAACTCCTTGCTATTGTGAACAAAGCCACAATAAACATGGGTGTGCATAACATAACACTTCCAAGTGCTCTATTAAATTAATTTACCATTGAAAGTAAGGATATATAACTGTGAGGCGCTTTTGTTGCTTCCAGTATTTAAATCCTTCTTGTTGAGTAATCCATGGTAGGATGTCTATGCACATCTGTCTCTTCAAATAATGACTATTCTTTCTGTTACCAACCACAAATGGAGCATTTCTCTAACCCTAGCCACTTGTATCTAGTTCAGATCTCACAAATTCAAGGGCACAGTCCTTGAGACTATCAAATCTGCCCAAAATTTCAGAAATCAGCCACTGCCTGAGGTTGTCCGGTGCCCTTTCATTTCTGACCTGTGGCCTACAAATTAGAGGGCATCAACCATAAGTTTGGGGTGCTGGCTACAAGTTCAGGTATTCCTACTGCTACTCCAGGCTCCTTGATTAACATTAAATGACTCACAGAACTCAGGAAGATGCTTCATGAATAATACAGTTTTATTCTAGAATAGAGGATTCAAATCAGAATAGACATTCATAGGCCAGTCTGGAAAGATCCCAAATGTGGAGTTTCCATGTCCCAAAGACAGGTTACCCTTTCAAGCTGTGAAGGCCTCATCATGTAGGCAAAATTGATCTCCTCAGATACTCTTATCACATGGTGGGCTTTTCTAGTATGACCAGCCCCATCACAAGGGTCACCTTATTAGCATAATTTGTTAGGTCTGATCTGAAGTCCCTCCGTGAATGCCAAAGACTCCAGCTACTATGTAAGGTCTTCTGGAACCAAGACCAAATTGTCACATGTTATAGCATATTCTGTAATATGTTGTCCTTAGGTGCTCTTGAGTCAAAAACAGCTCATGGCAACCCTGCAAACAACAGATCTGAGCCCTGCACTATCCTGTGTCATCCTCATCATCTGTAACATAGTTGAGCCCACTGCAGTCACTGTGTCAATCCATCTGGTTCTATAACATAGTGGCTATGTTATTTAACTGTTTCACATCATCTCTGTTTACTAAGACATCAATGTCAGTTTTGGCTTTTCCTTTAAGAACCAGTCTTGTGACCAACCATCCTTTCCATTTCTGCTGTTGTCAATCATAAAAATGAAACTGAGTGATGATGAACCCACGGGATAGATAAGATGTTTCGTCTCTGAGCCTCTTCTCCTGTTCTTATTGTCACATACCAACTAAGCCATATGGTTCAACCCAACATATTCTTAAACTTACAGTTGTCTAAGCTATGGCCACATTTTCTTGCAATTGTTAGGTAACAGCAAGTCAGTTCTGCCTCAGATTCTAGTATACGACAGACAAAACTCCGTTCAATTCTGTGACATCTTCAGTCTCTGTTATGCCTAAATCCATTTAGTGCTTCCTCCTCCCCAAATTTATCCAGTTACTGTTATGTTTGTGAGGTAATTTTCCTAGATTAGGATAAACAAACAACCACCTTAGTTTGTGGTAATGTTTGAGAAATTAATTAAATGTCTGTATAACTGTGCCATGTAGTGTAGTGCGTAAGGCTGGCTACCATCTTTCTTCTCCGAGCAGCCTTGGAAATGGATGGAGGATCACTATGAGTCAGAACCAATTGGATGGCTGTGAGTGGGTTGTAAAAGACATAATACTTGGCTGTAAATTCAAATGAAATATTAGAAACTTAAATGTTTCCATCTTTTTTTTAGACCAGAGTTAGAAGAGGAAAGAAATGCTCTTATTCTTCAATCCGCAGCTAATAAGAAACAACTGAAAGATATAGAGAAAAAAATTTTAGAAACATTATCATCTTCACAAGGGAACATTTTGGAAGATGAAAGTGCAATTAAAGTCTTAGACTCAGCTAAAATCATGTCCAACGAAATAACGAAGAAACAGCAGGTGAAAAGAAAATCTAGAAACATTTCCACTCTTGGGAGTCTAATTTGCATCCAGTCCCCGAGGAAAGAGCTTTTGGGAAAGAAAAAAGAATTTATAACAATTGACCATAATTAGTTGTTATTGCTGTTGTTGTTAGGTGCTATCAAGTACAATACTACTCATAGCGACCCTATAAACATAAGATCTGAACCCTCCCTCCCTCCCTCATCTACCCACTTACTAACTTGGTCCTAACCCCCTTACTGTGCACGTGTGTGTGCGTGTGCGCACGCTCTGGCTGTCTGTCTAGATGTCTAGCTCATCTAGTTCCTCCTACCTACCCAGGGGCTGGGGATCAAGGGGTTGGGGGAGGAGGGTTTAAGTTTCCCCACTCAAAGGAAGGTAGGGGGATATTTCTAGGAAAATAGAAATTGGTCTGTTTCTCCTATTTCCCTTTCCTCCACTTACCACATCTCTAAAATGTGGGAGCAGAAAGGACTTGCATTTTCTTGTAGCAAAGAGCAGAGGTGGGAGTGAGGCATGTGGAGAGATGTAAGGAAAATCAGTGTGGATGTCAGGTGAAGAAACCACCAACCTCCACCTGGAAAAGCATCAAAAGCCAGAGATCAGTGTTTGCACCCCTACGAGGGACCAGAAGATTCAAATTTCTAGATGTTTTCAGATTGGAGCACCTAGCCAACAGGAGGTCCCTATTTGTTCCCCTCTGGGCTGGGTATGAACCAGGGAACTAATGAAAGAGGACAATGGGATCCTTTCCTAGCTCCAAAGATCAAACCCCACAGAGCATTCAGCATTATATACGTTCTCACCCCAACCACCTCTATTGTAGAGAGACTATGTTGGGAGCATGCACCACTGAGCCAGAGATGGGGATTAGGGCAGAGAATAAGATCCCATTTCTACTCCTTTATTCCTATTCAGACTGTTGCACATACTGACCCTAAAGCTAAGGAGATTGGGGAATGAGATCTTTAGGTTTTAACCTCAATCCAGCCCTCACTTCCAGGGTCCCAAGGTAGCAAGTGAAGGCAACCTTCCCTCCCTTTCAGGTCTAGAACACCCTTGGGCCAGAAAGAAGGGAAGAAGTAACTAGTTTTCCTTTGCACTGATTCTCAACCCAATTTAATCCAAGAGGGGGTGTGGTAACCCCTCTCCCAATATCTTGGCCCCCTGGACTCACACATACTTCCTAGCGAGATCACTATAGTGAGTGACCTCAGCCTACTGCCTATGCCATGATGCCCCTCCCTACCCTGACCGTGCTAACTGTGTATGCATATATATTCTACATATATGTATATTAAACCTGCACTGCCATGTCTGCCCTTCTTTGTGGTGTCTAGCATTAACTTATTGTCCAGGCCAGAGTGGGGTAAGAGGGAAATGCTATATATATAGTGAAGAGAGTGGCAAAGGCACACTGCTACTTGGTCAAAACAAAAAAAGGTGTTTGGTTTGTGTGTTTTTTTTAAAAAAAAAATCAAAGAATTCTCATTCAATCTCAGATTACTTAGAGAATGTTTGTTATGAGCTTTTAGGGTATATGAGCAAAACTTTACTGGATGGAGAAGGCTAGCTGTTAGAAGAGGGAAGAAGCCAGACTGGTTGGAGAGCATCCTCCACTCCTAGCCCAGCCCAGCCTGCCTGTACCCTCAGGCCACTGCTATGGACGCCTGCCTTAACACACACACCTCAAGTACTCCACAGTTTTGCCTTAAAGGACCTTCCCAAGTATTCCCAGTCTTGCCTAGCTTAAGAAAAAGGAACTACTTGCTAAGTGAAAAAGAATGTGATCGTGCAAAAAAGGATAAAGAACCTTCTTCCTAGAGAGAGAGATCAGATGAGAGAAAAGACAGGGTCATTTTCAGAAGAGTCTTGTAGTTCCTCTGTGAGGCAAAATAATCTTGAAAAAAAAAAAAGACTAACCTGCCCTTCCACCCCTGGTACTGCTGTGAGATTGCTCTTATACCATGCTCCTGTCTGCAGGGTGTTCTAACCCTGGAATAAAGGTGATTGATTGTATTGTAAAAGAAAAGATCTGAACCCTGTTCTATCCTGTGCCATCCTCACACTTCCTGACACGCAAGAGCCCATTGCAGCAGTCACTATGTCAGTCCACCTGGTTGAGAGTCTTTCTTTCCGTCACCAACCCTCCACCATTCCCAGCATCGTGTCTTTCTCCAAGGAATAGCTTCTCTTAGCAACATGCCTAAAGTCTGTGAGGCAAAGCCTCATCATTCTTGCCTCCAAAGAGCACTCCTGCTAACCGTGATAGTCAAGTGCTTGACTGTTTGTACTACTCAAGGATTCAAGGATTCCTAATTTACTCCTGTCTGCTCAGTTATCTGTTCAAGTTATTTCACAGAAGTAGAATCATATAATATTTGTCTTTTATGTCTGACATTTTCATTTAGCATGTTTTCAAGGTTCATTCATGTGTTAGCATGCATTAGAACTTCATTCTTTTTATAATGGAACATCCCATTAAAAACCCACAACACAATGCCTCAGATTCACTGCCTTCTAGTCAGTTGCAACACAGTGACGATCAGATTTCTGAGGCTGTCAGTCACAACAGGAGGAAACAGCCATCTTCCTCCTGCAGAGGCACTGGTGAGGATTCAAACTACCAGAAACGCGAGGCCTTTTAGTTCACATAGCTTCTTTTGGACTACACCAGCAGAACTCCCCAACCAATATGCCATAGCCAACAAGTATTTCTGAGTAATAATTTTGTCAGATATTATGCTGTGCTGTGCTAAACATGCTGACACATTAAATATATGCACACGTGTACTCTCCCTGACCTATTAAATGAAAACAGACTAGTGACTATGGCTGACACATCACAGGCAAAGAATAAACAAGGATTGACAGCTCTGGAACTCTTTGAATAAGAAAGGGATGGTTAGTGGCTAATCACACATTTAACCTGTGAACTTGAATTTCCTTCGATTCTTTTTTTCTCTTCTGTCCCTCCATCATGTCTCTCGCTCTTTCCTCTTTTTCCTTCCCTTTTTTTTTTGTTTCTTTCTTTCTAGCATTTAGCACAAGCTCGCTACCTTTTAAGATTAATCTTGTAACTGGGTTGTTGTTGTTGTTATGTGCCATTTAATCACCTGTGACTTATAGTGATCCACAATAGATCTGAATCCTGCCCTATCCTGAGCTGTTCTCATTGTCTCTGATACACCTGCTCCCATTACCTCAGTTCCTGTGTCAATCCATCTCATCCGGGATCTTACTCTCCTACCTTATCCTGTCACCCTTCCAAGTATAATGTCTCTCTCCAAGGAGTGGAAGTATTTTTACCAATAAAGTTGTGGTTTTTTTACTCTTGATTTTTTTCCTTTTCTTCATAGAATGCAGAAAAAACAGAACTCAAAATAGCAGAATCTCGAGAAGGATACAGACCCATTGCTAAACATTCATCAGTATTATTCTTTAGCATTGCAGACCTGGCTAACATTGATCCCATGTACCAGTACTCTCTTAGCTGGTTTGTGAATCTTTATATCAACTCTATTCATGACAGGTAAACATTACCTAACTTCATTTATCCATGTCTTCCTCATTATTTTAAAAATTAATATTTTTGTAATGTTTTTATAATTTGCATTCATTAGAAACATTTAAAACATATGGAAAAGTAAAAGGAAGGGAGAAGAAAAGGTAGACTAAATCTTTTTCCTATTTTAAGATCAGTATCTGATCACAAATCTTACTCAAGATCAAGATTTGGACTTAGAGGTATTTGTTTTAGCCCTGACTCGCTACTTCTACCCTAATAGTTTGATAGCTATTATCACTTTAAACAATGCAGATTTTTAGAGTCACTCTGGAGTCAGGTATTAAATCTTAGTTCTACATATGTAAGCTGTACGACATATTCAAGCAGTTAACTTTGTAAAATTGCTTCAGATTTCCTAATTTGCAAACTAGAAATAATAATAGTGCTTAAATTATAGAGTTATGATAATTAAATCAAATCCTATTTTTAGAGTGTTCACCATATTTGTTATCTAATAACAGGTATAAGTGAAATAAAAATATTTTTATTGATGGTAGAAAGACATTTGACTGTGGGACCATAAATTATAGATAACATTGAGAAGAAGGAGACTCTAGAACACATCTTTGTGTTGGTACAAAACCTCTTCCTAGACCAAGAAGCAGTTATCTAAAAGAACACAGGAACACTGAACGGTTTAAAATCAGACAATTTGTGAATCAAGGTGTAGTCTCTCTTTATACCTATTAAATCTGTGTGCTGATCAAGTTATTGGAGAAGCTGGACTATATGAAGAATATGGCATCAAGATTGGAGGAAGACTCATCAACAACCTGCATTATACAGATGACACAACCTTGCTTGGATAAAGTAAAGAGGAGTTTAAGCATTTGCTGAAGAAGATAAAAGACAATTGCTTTCCATACGGGTTATACTTCAACACCAAGAAAACAAAAATCTTCACTTGATAAATGGAAAAGGACTCAGAATATTATATAACAAGAGAGAGGCTAGAAAGCATTATGCTGATTGAACAAATTCAGGTTTATAAGGACAAATACTGCATAAGATCTTTATTGTAAAAACAGAAGGAGTCTAGTAAGATGTGTATGGATATCCAAAGAAGGAAATGGAGGGAATGGGGCAGAAAAGCTGAGGGTGAAGGGAGAGGGTGAAGGAATTAGGAAAGATTCAGTGGGGATATGAAAAGATGGGTAATAGTGGACATAGATCAATGGTGACTAATTTTATAAGACACAATGTGTGGGAATGATCATATGAAACATAATGTGAATGAAGAAAATTAAAAGGAGGGGAAACGACATGTCGTAATAGGAAAATCTGCTGTCAAGGACTTATGAAAGTGCTAAAGAGCAAAAATACTGGTTTAAAGACTGAAGTGAGCCTGACCCAAGCCATAGTGTTTTCACTTATTTCCTGCGCTTCTGAAAGTTGGGCTAAGGATGACTGAAGAAAATTTGATGCTTTTGAATTGTGGTGTTGAAAAAGAGTGTTAAGTGTACCACGGAGCACCAAAAGAACAAACAAATCTGTGTGGAGGAAGTGAACCATAGTGCTTCTTAGAGGCCAGGGTAGTAAAATGTGTCTCACATACTTTGGATATGTTGTCAGAAGGAGCCAGTTCTTGAAAAAAGGATAGCATGCTAGGAAAAGTAGAAATGTCAGCAAAAATAAAGGAAGACCCTCAACTAGGTAGATCGACACAGTTACTATCATAATGGGATTGAGCATAGTGTAGAGTATGAAGATGATACAAGACAGGACAGGGTTCCTATCTGTTGTTCATAGATTCACTGTGAATCATAGTCGACTCAATGGCACCTAACAGCAACAATACAAGCTAAGAAGGAATCTTAGCAGAATAGTGGATTATGTTCTGCACTGCTAACCAACAGGCTGGCAGTTTAAATCTACAAGCTGCTTTGGGAAAAAAAGATGGGTAGATTCTTCCCCTCAAGTGTTACAGCCGATGGAGGCTCCCCTTGAGTTGGCACTGACTTGTGCGAGTGATTTTGGTTTGGGTTATACATGCTAAGAAGAGCCCTGGTGGTCGAGTGGGTAAGGCACCCACAGTATGAACTGACCAGGAGCTCTGTGGGAGAAAGGTAGGTATGGCAGTCGGCTTTCTTAGAGATGTGCAGCCGTGGAAATGCTGTGGACAGTTCTGGTCTATAAGTATACACCCTTCACAGATTTTTTCCAGTGATACTATCCTCCACAGTGGTTGTTTAAACCACCCTTACCCCTACAATAACCAGTTCATTGCCATTGAATTTGAACGGAACTGACCCAGAGCTGACCCTCCAGCCAGAAGCTATAAATTACACAGGAGATTGCCTTTCTCCTGAGGAATGCTGGTGAATTTCAACCACCAGAGAGGCATCACCTTGGGGTTAACAGTGCAAGTTTCTATGGACTGCACCACCAGAGCTCCCCTCCAAATGTTTCTAGTGGTGACATCATAATTTGTATAAATGTAGAACAATGTCATGACCAAGAAATTGACATTAGTACTATCATAGAGCTTATTCCAGCTGATAAGCACTCATCTGTGTGTGTGTGTGTGTGTGTGTGTGTGTATGTGTAGCTGAGCACATGTGTGCCTGTGGATGTGTGTAATTCTGCACAATATATTTTTAATACTAGATAAAATAAAAACAGTTCTTATTTTAATGCCTGCTACTTGTTTTGTTATGTTTTTTTTGTTTTACTTTAGTTAGTTGTTTTTGTTTTAACTCAGGTATGGTTTCTTTCTTTCTAAAACCTTTTAGTAACAAATCTAAAATTTTGGAAAAGCGCCTGCGGTATTTAAATGACCACTTCACATACAACTTATATTGTAACATATGCCGATCGCTGTTTGAGAAGGACAAGCTGCTGTTTTCCTTCTTATTATGTGCCAATCTTCTCCTGTAAGTTACTTGGGTTGTTTGTTTACTTATTTAGATAACCTACTAAGAGTACCTAATTTTTAAAATATGGCTTTTTTTTTTGCAGGATATCATGGTTTTGCACTGTTTAATTATTTTACTTTTATATTTAGGGAGCTCTGGTGGGTTAGTGGTAAGGACTTGATTTGCCAAACCGAAGGCATGTGGTTCGAATCCACAAGTCTCCTGTGTGATTTACTGCTCTGAAAACTCATTGAAGTTATTAGTTCATTTTGACTTGATGGTATATAATAACAACAACAACATGTGCATTTTACTGATAATGATGACTAATAATATTAATGTTTATTTTATTTTAAAAATTTAGATCACTTAGAAGAATTCACAGAATGTTAACATACAGTTTAACATGTTCTTACAATGTGAAAATCTGTTTAATCATCATTCAGGTTAAGAGACAGAACATTCTCATTGTGTCTGAAGCACTTCTTGTACTCATTCCCATTTACCCATTCTTTTTCTCTTCCCCAAAGGCAGTAAATATTCTATCTCTAGCACTGCCATCTAGCTTTGCCTTTTAATGAATAAAACCAAACAGTACACATTCTTTTCTCTGACTTCTTTTCTTCAAAATTATGACATTCATTCATGTTACAAGAGGCTGTAGTTTGTTTTCATTACCTTAAACTTGGGAGGTAGAATTGGACAAGTAGTAGACTACTAGCCCACAATTGGTGATCCAGAGACACCTCAGAAACAGACCTGGTGATCTAACTCGACAAGGTCAATAAGGATACATGAGGTCCCCATGAGTCAAGTTCATTAGTAACTAGCAGCAGCAGCAGCATTTGTTGTGAAGATACATCACAATTTATCATTTCTACTGGTGAATATAAGTATTGTGTTTCTAGTTTGGAGATATTATAAATAATGATTTAGTGACTGTTCTGTAACTCTTAGTGCTCATATTTTTATTAGGAAAATAGGGAAAAAGTAGCAAAAATTTGCAAAACATTTTTACAGTCATTTTTTTCTTTTGCTGTTTTCTAAGGCAGTGGTTTATGCTATTAGATATTTTTTCCTTTGTGATTTTGGTAAAAGTTTATAAATTAATTTTTTAATCTTTCACACACAGTTTGTTTATAATATTAGTTGCAATACTTAAAATGTAATCATGTTTTCACTATTTGCTTCCTGTAATTCTGATTTCCATTACTGTTTATCTTTCTGTGTGTTCCTTTTCTTCAATGATAATGTACTAAAAAAAAATGATAATGTACTGAATATCTCCCTATTTTAAGTTGGCCATTAACATATTGACATATATTTTCCTTTTTAAAAAATAATACTTTTTTTCATTTTTGAACATTTTCTTTCCCACCTCTCCAAACACATCCTGCAATGCACCCCTTGTTCCAGATTATTGTCATACATATAATGCCTCATCATATATTCCTTTTAGATATTGCCCTATTTTAAATTGTCTCTCCTTTTTCCATCATAATATGTGACTGATGTTATGTTGTTGTTATTGTTATGTGCCATCAAGTCAACTTTGACTCATAGTGACCCTGTGAACAATAGATCTGAACCTTGCCCTATCTGTGACATCCTCATAATCTCTGTACTAGTCAAGTCCATGTGGTAGACACTGTTTTAATCCTTCCCATTGAGGGTCTTCCTTTCTTTTGCTGACCCTCTACCTTTACCAGCATGACGTCTTTTTCCAAGGACTGGTTCCTCCTGAAAATATACCCAAAGTAAGTGAGATGAAGTTTCACCATCCTTCTCTCTATGGATCACTCTGATTCTACTTCTTTTAAGATGGATTAATTTCTTTTGTCAGTCCATGGTATATTCAATACTCTTTCTCAACACCACAGATCAAAGGCACTGCTGCTTCTATCATCTGTATTCATTGTCCAACTTTCATACACATAGGAAGCAATTGTAAACATCATGACTTGGATCAAGTGCACCTTGGTCTTTAAATGGACATCTTTGCTCTTTAGCCATTTGGAGGTGTCCTTGACAGCAGCTTTCTCCAGTGCAAAACGTCCTTTGACTTCTTGACTGCTGCTCCCATGAGTGTTGATTGTGGATCTAAGTAAAATGAAACCAATGACCATTTCAGTCTTTTCTCATCTATCACAGTGTTGCTTATCAGTCCACTCGGGAAGATTTTTATTTTCTTTATAATGCTGTGTATTCCATACTGAAATCTATAGTATTTGAGCTTCTGCAGTGCGTGTTGCAAGTCATCTTCATTTCAACAAGCAAGGTTATATAGTTGATGAATCTTCCTCCAGTCCTCATGCCACATTCATGTTTATAACCCAACTTCTCGAATGATTTGCTGAGCATACAGATTGAATAGGTATAGAGAAAGGATACAATCCTGAGGCACACCTTTCCTAGTTTTTTTGTTGTTTTTCTTCCTTTTCTCCTTATATTTTTTAATTGTGATTTTAACAAAAGTTTATAGAAAGTTTGGGTTTTCATTCATTCATTGATGCACATTGCCCTCCTTTCCACCTTCCCCAATTCTCTTTTTAATGTACGTCTTGTTCCACATTGTTAATTGTCATACATTTACTCCTAATCATATATTCCTTTAGACAGTCCTTTCCTTCATCTGTTCCAGTGACATGTTCATTATCTATCCACACTTTTCCAGTTCTCCTCCCCCACCCTTATGCCAGTCATATTTTATAACAGCAGTCTTATGCAGTATTTGTCCTTTTGTGACTCAGCTATATCATACAGCATAATGTCATTTAGACTCACTCATGTGTAGTGTTTTACAAGTCCATTGGTTTTCAGTGCTGTATAATATTCCATTGTGTGAATGTACTACAGGTTTTCTAACTATTTTTTTTTGTTGTTGTTGATAGGTAGTTGGGCTGCTTCCATCTCTTAATTATTGTGAATAATGCAGCAGTAAACATGAGTAGGATAGTTAAATCAAGTTGTATTTTCTACTTCCAAGTTTTTGAGAAAGTGCCAGACCACTTTCCATTTTACATTCCTACCAGCAGTGAATGAGAGTTCCAATCTCTCCATATTCTCCCCAGCATCTGTTTTTTGCTGCTCTGTAGAACTTCACAATTGTTGCTGGGGTTAGATATCTCATTGTTGTTTTGCTTTGAATCTCTCTTGCAGCTAGATTGTGTACTTGTCTTTATATGTTTGTTGATCATCTGAATTTCTTCTTTGGTGAAGTGGCTGTTCATATCTGTTCCCAGTCTATATGGTTGGGTTGCTTGTCTCCTTTTTGTTGAGGTGCTGGAATATTCTATAGATTTTAGATACGATCTTTTGATCAAATATGTCATTGCCAAATATTTTTCCAGTCTGTGGGTTTCATTTTTTACTCTTTTGGGAAAGTTTTTTGATGTGCGTAGGGATTTGATTTTTTAGAAGGTCCTGTTCATCTATTTTATCCTCTCCTGGTTGTAGGTTTTCATTATGCTTGAAAGTATGCCCATGCTGTAGATTAGGTTTCTGGAGTTGTTCCTAGGAAGCTCTAGTAGCTTAGTGGTAAGGAATTGTGCTGCCAGTTCAAAAGTATAAGGTTTAAATCCACCACTTGCTCTGCAAGAGAAGGAAGGGCAATCTCTTTCTGTGTGAGTGTCTATCTCTGAGAACCTGCGGAAAGGTCAACTATGGGTTGGGCTTGACTCAGCAGTAGACAAAAGTAACAACAGTTGTTTCTAGTTCTCACCTTTCCTGTTTTTAAATGATGCAGTATTCCATTTTTCTGTTCAGACCACTGCTTCTTGGTCTGTGTATCAGTTTCACGTGAGCATAATTGAGTATTTTGGGATTCTCATTGTTTTCAATTTTAGCCATAATTTGTTATGACAATAATTTGTAATTTGACACAGTTAAATATTCTCCCATATTATCATATTGAACTTTTTAAATTACATTTCACATTTTTACCTATAAGCCATGTAGAATGAACATGAGTGATCTGACATAGATAACAAATTGCTCTCTCTTTTTTAATATAGCTATTCATTTGTTTTTTGGATAATCTTCAGTAGAATCTTGCTTGCATGTGAAATCAATTATATTGTTCTGTAGTTTCCACACTCAGTTGGGTCACCCTTCTTTGGGATGGGAACAAATATTGACCTCTTC